CCAGGGATGGGGCATCCACAACTTCTCTGGGCAACCTGTTCCAGTGCCTCACCACCCTCAATGTAAAAAATTTCTTCCTTATATCTAATCAAAATCTCCCCTCTTTCAGTTTGCATCCATTGCCCCTTGTCCTGTCTGTAGCTTGCTTGCACTGGAAGCTGGATTCAAGCATGAAAAAAATCCTTAGTGTTTTTTGGATTTATGACCTAAAAATATTTTGTCTTTTGAGCCAATAATAATAAAAAATAGGATAGGGTGAAGAGTGGTGCCCATGAGATACAGTCTTTCAAAGGGTAGATCAATGAAAGAAACGTGCCAGAACATCTGTTATGTAGAGGATCTTAACTGAATATTGATTTTCATCTGAAAACCAAATACTGTCGGTGTACCTGACTTCATGTGGCCTTTGTACTGGAATAAGGAAGATTTTTGTGTTACAGTGGTGGCTAGAGGGCTTGTGGCCCTACTGTGTGACATGCTCAGGTTCAGCCTAAAATGTAACTGTTGCCCTGGAGGGCTTAGCATCTACAAACTTCGGCCAAGAAGTAGGAATTGAGCACAGATCTCCTGAATGGCAACCCAATAGCCTACCAACTAGTTGAAAGTGTCCCAGTTTGATTTCTACTCCTTATCTGCATGGTAGCACAAAAAACACCACAAAGGCAAGAGGCTTTAATTGTCGCATTGTCTTCAATGCCTAACATAACTGCAAAATACTGTGATGATATACTGCATATGATGCACATAAATGAGAAAATACCTGAGTGAATAGTAACTGGTGTTAGCCATGTACGGGCAGGATATTAATCTTAGCACCTGTTAAAATGGCACTGTGTCCTTGACATAGTGGTAACAGTAATTTCACTGATCCACCAGATTTAGGCTACTGGTACACAAGAATCTGACCCTTGGGAAGCAATTAAAGACTATTTGTTTACAGGATATACAGAAAATGAAAGATCAGGTCCAAGTTCTAAATTATTTTTAAGTTTTTTAATGGCAGTAGAAGGTAAATGTAGCAGTAGGGATACTAAACAACTTTAAAAAAAGGCTAAAATCACCAGCTGGAAACACCTGGAGGAAGTCAGTGAGATTTTTCTCTTAAATTAGCCCAACTCTCTTGATAATTTTATCCAGGTAGCTTAGCCTTTTACCTTAGCATGCACCAGTGGCCCGCAATACTGATTTAGCTAAGTAATTACTCAACAGAACAATTATTTAATTGCTGAACCTGAGTATTAACAGACAAATAATAGTAGCTAAATAAATAAAGATTACTTTTCTGAATTCCAGTAGTTCATCCAAAAACACATCAAGTAGGAACCTGGACCAGTTTATCCTTATATATGGTAATTTGTTCACTTCGTATACTTCTTCAAGTAATACCTGGTCATTAACATTTTTATTTATAAAGTCTGTGAAGCTGCAAAATAGAAATGCACTCACTCCAAACAGATATTACTCATAATAATACTGTTGCAGTAGTTAAAGAAACTATGGATTTTTTGTAGAAGTCATGAACCCAAGATATATTTGAAAGGTACATCGAGCTCAGGCCACTTGGATTTACTGAAGTACTTTTTACCATACTCTCCAGAGCAATAAAATCAGCATAAAAGTGGACAGAACAAACCTTCCATAAGAACAGAAAACAAATCAGTTCTTGTGCTTTCCACTTAACCTCTGCCTTCAGACACCCCAAACTCTCTCTTTTTAAGGCAATAGTAGTTTTGTTGTGCTTTTATCGTGGGTAATTTACATCTCCAAATTTTAAAGATATCTGCTGGATGTACTCCAATTAATAAATAATAATGTCACCATATATGTTAATTTACATAAGATGTCTCTCTAGAACACCTCCCTTTCATTTAACTTCCTTTTGATAAGGCATATCTGCAATTTCCTCTTCTTAAAGTCTTAACTGTTGAGTAAGATCTTTTTGTTAATCTTTATCCTGTTAGTTTTACTCTGTTTAGTTTTACATTATACAGCATATTTCTTCTGACATAATCAGCTAGCTTCCATGATGAAATAATGTATCAAGGACACCAGGTATGCAGGGTGCCTTTGCTGCTGAGGACTGCTGAATTCCACAGAGAAATGTGAACAGATAGGGTATTTTCAGCTGAGGACAGCAACATAGAAAATAGCAGTGCAGTGTTGTCATTTTGAGGTAAAAGGTAGCAATCTCTTATTGTGATCAGAGTTATTTAAAGGTTGGTTTCAAATTAGCCTTGCAGTCACAAATGTGTAAATATTTAATTTTTTTCTAAGCGAACATGAACCAGTTCCTTGAGTGAAAACAGAACATGTCTGAATTGAATGTACTTCTGTATAAAAATTATGGTTTCTTTCACAGGAAAAGCATATCAAAAGTAATGTATCCGATGGAACTCCACCCTTGACAGATGTAGATAAATAAAAGCTGAAATGTAGTGCTAGTGTTTGTCACTGGAAACATAATGCAGGATTTAGGCCAAGATGTGTTATAAATTTAGCACAGTTTTAAATACAATACCCAAACTTGAGAAATAGTTCCAACCAAGTATAACACTTCTTTCTTTAGAGCCTTCCCTGTTTTGCAACTCTGACTAACTTCGGCCATTGAACTCCAACTATGAATGGTGAGATGAAGGAATTAGGGCCAAGCGTGCACATGGCATTGGCACTCTGGTATCTATACCAGAAGACTGCAGGCTACACTCTGGGCCCACTGTCTGAACTTTTTACTGAGATTTAGTCTTGTAGAAAATCAGAGTGTATAGAGCCTATCCATTACTCCTTGGATAAAAAAGTGCAATGAAGTCAACATGGCTTTCTTCTTCCATTTTCCCATTTCTCTTTCTTACTCACCACGCACTGCTTGTATTCCACCTTCATCAGCCCATGTTGGTTTTCCTAAGTATGGCAGAGATTTTCCATGAGCAAAGCAAACAGTATTTGATCCCAGACATCAAATTAAGTTTGCAATGTAAATTAACTGCTCTCAGATGAGTCACTTTCTGCTTCCAGTAAGACTCTGCATCCAAACCTTGGATGTCCACTGCCCGACAAGTAAATTATCTTGATACATCTTAACTGCTGCTCATGTGGTGGAGGAAAGAAAACAGGCAGCTTCATTCTCTTTTGGATGGGCTCAGGTGAATATACCCTCTTACATTCCCAACCTGCACAAGCCGTTTCCTCCTTCCATGGTGTTACTCTTCCATGGAACTGAAGGACACTTAGTTCTCTGCAACCAGCAGAGAAGACAAATGCTGCTTTACCCTTGGACTGCAAAGGACAAAGGGAGGGAGGGAGAGAGAGCAGTTTTGTGCCTTCCCTGCTTCTCCCTCACCCCAACTTTGTGCTCCAGCCAGATGCAAGGTGACCCTAAGCAGTTACATGTGTGGACTTAAAGATTACAAGACAGAAAGTGGATGGTCCCTTTTTTTTTCTCCTATATACGGAACTCCCGTTGGCTTTCCTGGGTGCTCCCTCAATAGACTGATGAGCAACAGGTCAGAGGAGACGGAAAGGCTTTTTACCTGCCAACCCCAGAGTTCAGGATGTGTTGTTTCTCCTGCAGCAGTTGATGACACCCTAACACCTTAGCAGCACTGGAGCTGCATTCCTACGCTGTAACAGGGGAAGCAGGACCAAGGGCCTGAACTAAGGTCTTGGCAGGTAAGTGAAGGAGCAACCAGTATCAAACAGCTTCGTTTGAAAGTGTACGTCTTTGTAATGTTTAAGTCTTAATATGTGCTCTGCCTTACCTGGGAGCTTAAACTTCCAGTTTTCAGAAGAGTATTTGAGATCACCTACTACCTCTTCCAAACGCTTGAAAAAGTGTTGAACAAACTCATAACCATAGAGGGGCTAGAGAGAAGGGTTATTTGTGCTAAAATTGTCTCAAAGCTGGGATTTCTTCTTAAAGCTGAGCAGAAGTTATTCAGACTAGTGGGGGTGGGAGAAGCTTTATGCTACCAGCATATTTTTGTATATCACCATTTAGGATGACTGCGAGAATCATTGTATGGTGAATACTGAATATTAAAAATATGAGCTCTCTTGGGATTGGAAGAGGGGATTATTTGCTTAGTTGCTTGTTTTCTCTCAATTAGACACTTAGGGACCACTTGATAAAGGGAAATCTCCATCTCCTTACCATGTTCCACTTCTTAATTATTGGAATCAGGTTTCCTATATGAATACTTATGTCATTCAAAACATGCTTTATTTCAGTAGTTGTCAGGAATTGTCATTTTTTGCTGGCAATGCCGTGTTCCAGAACATTCATAGAGAGCACACACAGAGGAAGTCACTACCACTAAAGCAAATCCAATTAAACAGATATTTACAGAAGAATAAGTGATGCTAGTTACCAGCTCAAAAAAATAAAATAAAAAAACCCCAAAACATCCTTACATAAAGGAAGTCTTTCTTTTCCTTGCTTGTGGTAATATGAGGGTAATGGATGCCTTTCTGTTGAGAGGTCAGTAAGTTTTACTTTTTGGAATGAAAAACAAATTTAGGTCAGAGGAGGAAATCATAAGGAGCTGCCACATGCTAAGTTCTGTATCTGAGCCATCTATTTCCACCATATCCTGGAGAGAAAAAAGAGGATGTTTATAAAGAATGAACAACCCTCCAAAACTGATGGGACACCAAAGCCTCGTCAATGTCCAGTTCAGATACTCTTATTCCCCCTGCCCTTATTGTTACTAATATTCTCAATTTACTCAGTGAAATCACTCCAAAAGTGACCTCTAAGTTTCTATCCATCTTTCAGTAGATAAACTGTGAGCCTGTGAAAAATTAGACATGCTGATAGCAACAGTTAATGAATATTCATCAGAATTAAGGGGAAAAGTTATCAAAAATTTCTCTCCAAAAATTTATGGGCAAGAGTGAAAATGACACTTTACATAGGTTTATATTTTTTAAAACTTTGCATTACTATAGTCATTGTTTTAAATTAACTTTCTCTAGACAAAATAAAGTGTTGTACTACATTGCAGCCTCACTGTTAGGAATGAAGATAGAGGAGACAATGCAGGAAGGCCAACACATACGACCAAAATGGAGAGTATCCAAGTCATAGAAGAATGGTAAGTTGGGCAAATTGTTGCCTAGCAAATATCTTTAATTTGCCTACAACTAATATCAAGAATTGCTTTGGTTTTTATGCTTTGGGAATGTCCTTTTAATTACTTTTTCTCCAAAAAATTCTTTACAAAAGGAAGCAAAATCTGTCCTGACAATGAAATGCCAGCAGAGACATCCATAAGTCAGGCTTACTTACAGTTTCTTATTTGTGGGGAAGAACTGTGGGGAAGAATGGAAGGTTCATGGATGGTTCCATAGACCTATGGGTCTCTATAAGAAGCTTCTGCTACCTGTGGAATCATTTTCTTCTGTTTAGAGAGACAAGAAGAAAAATTAACAGGCACAAGTGTACTTCACAGTCAGATTTTTAATAGTGCTACCTTTTGTAAAACTTCTTGGACTACGGTTTCACTGGAATTAACCAAGGAAACATACACCTTGAAAAACAGGCTGATGCTAAAAGTCTGAGCTTCTATTTCTGTCTAAAGCTTGGGCCCATGTTTATTGTGTTGGGAAAAATGCTAACCTATCAGTGGCCTTGAGTACTCTAATCCCATAAAAAGTAAATTAAAACTCAACTCTAGAGGATATCATTGATGGTGGAAGCAACCCAAACAACTCATTGTCTTCACTGGTACTCATGGTTTTTTATGAGAGGACATCAGAAATTTCCACAAAATACTATAGTGAAGAGAGCTTCCCAATAAACAATGAGGGAGCACAGGTTGCTTGTCAGCTCCATCCACCTCAGCAGGTTCTTTTTGCTCTCCTCAGAGAGAGGACGTTTCAGTCTGTATGTTTATACTTTTTTGTTCAGATCACAATTATTTTGCTGGATAGTTTAAATGTTAAACACTTTCTCATTTATTAGATCTTTTGGACTGCTAAAAAGCTATCACAAATAGCTTCCTGTCGTCCAGTCTGCCTTGCATGCAGAGTAGGAGTTGATAAATGAACTTGAAGAGAAATCATGTAGACAAATGCCACTTCTTGTGCAACATGATCACACAGAAGCTATTAACAACAGCTAGTAAAGCTCTTGTGTAGGATCCTATCAGGAAGGGGAGTGTGAGCGCTCAGAATTAAGTTTGAAACTATATTTAATTGTCATTAAGTAACTTGGAGTTTTACCTTCTCAAGCTATTCATTGGTACATTAATGGATTAGTGGCACAAGTTAGTCTTCTGATCACTTATCCAGTGTGTCCACTGTTACAAGTCATGCCTAGTTTCCTTCAGAAAATGGGAATAAGGACTTTTTCCCATTTCTTCTCTCCCCAGTTTTGCCAGCAACACTTTTTCCCATTTCTTCTCTCTCCAGTTTTGCCAGCAACATCCATCACATCTTGTGCCAATAGATCATCATTCAGGTCAATAGCACCAAACAGAGGGAAGCTTAGCAACCCTTAGGTACAACCACAGAGAAATATGCTAATTTAAAAGCTCTCTGAATTACTGTTTTGTTGGGCCTCATTAGTATGCTCTTGGCTGCCAAGAGCCTTTTGTTTTTCTTGTCTTCCCTGAACCAAATCATGTGGCAGCCAGTGATTGGCCAAACACCACCAGAAGCAGGCAGGGACATCAGGTGTCATCTAAACCCCTCATGAAAGAGAGTCCATTGCTAGCTCCCTGAAATCACATCCCCTTTAACTGCAGAGGCAGGAATCCAGTGAGATTTTGTCTTTGAGTCTGATGGCTATCAACACTAGTAGAAAACTTGTAGAAAGCCAAGTGCATGTCTCATAACATTAAAAACATTTAGTGGGCTATTGAGGTAATGAATGCACAAGTGGAGAGTCAACAAAATTCCCGTCACTGCTGAAGTTTTGTTGCTTCCAGTTTTCACTCTGGACTAAAGTGCAGTTGAAAGGAGAATTTTTGGATGAATGTATGAAAACACTGTTACAAAAATAGAAGCATATTTGTAATGATACTTTCCTTTTGCAGCCAAAACCCTACAGCAGATGAAATTTTGTCTTGGGCTCAGAATTTTGACAAGATGATGAAAACACCAGCTGGGAGGAACCTTTTCAGAGAGTTTCTTCGAACAGAATATAGTGAGGAGAACCTGCTTTTCTGGCTTGCATGTGAAGATCTAAAGAAGGAACAGAACAAGAAAGTTATTGAAGAAAAAGCAAGACTTATATATGAAGATTACATTTCTATACTATCACCAAAAGAGGTAAAGCTGTAAATGTTACATTTGCATTTTCTGTTGTGTTATTCTGGAGCAGAAATGTTATACCCTGGATTGACAGATGGGGGTCTGAAAGTCTGCCTGATCTGTCGGATGAAAGTCTTAGTATGGTGTCATTGTTTAGCCCTACCAGCAACTAAACACCACACAGCTGCGTGGGGGAAATAGGGAGAGAATTAAAGGGAAAAGGGAAGGAGGCCTGTGGGTTGAGACAAGAAAAAAAAAAAAAACAGACAACAAAAACAAACAAAAAACCACATTAATATATTAATCTACTAATATATTAATATAATGATAATAATATATACAAACAAGTGGTGCACAGTGCAATTGCACACCAACCAGTGACCAACACCTGTCCTATCCCAGCAAACAATCTCAAAACAGGTAAGTCCTAACACTGCAATCCCAGATGAGCGAGAGGCCTGGAAAGAGAACAAGAGAGATGGCACTCAGAGAGCCCAAGAGTCTGAGAGCCCCCCAGAAGAGCAAAAGCCCTTCTTTCCAGTCAACCCTCATCTATACACTGGGCATGATGTTACATGATATGGAATATTTCATTGGCCAATTTAGCCGTCAATCCTAAATCTAAGTTCAAGTCATAAGGGGAGTCGTCGACCCTTTGTCCCAGCTATTCTACCCCCCAGCCTGTTGTGCTCCTGCACACTGGCAAGAACATGGGAAGCTGAAAAGTCCTTGAGGTCTCAGTGCCAACTATAAACATCAGTGTGCTATCAACATTCTTCTCACAGCGAATAATCCCATAAATAACGGCATAGGTATTAAAGCTACCCCCCTTAGGGGTGCGATGGGGTCAAGAGCCCAACTTAAGTGCTTCTATAAGAACGCATGCAGTATGGGCAATAAACAAGAGGAACTGGAAGCCCTCGTTAACCAGGGAAGCTATGACATAGTTGCCATCACAGAAACATGGTGGGATGACTTGTATGATTGGAGTGCTACCATGGATGGCTACAAGCTCTTCAGGAGGGATAGGAGAGGTAGGAGAGGTGGTGGGGTTGCCCTTTATGTAAAGGAAGGTCTAAACTGCTTAGAGTTTAATGTTGGGGATGACTTGGTGGAGTGTCTGTGGGTAAAAATCAAAGGGGGGCCTATGAAGGCGGATATTGTAGTGGGAATCTGCTACAGGCCACTCTATCAGGACGGTGAGGCTGACGAACTTTTTTTTAAACAACTGGAGGAAGTCTCGCGCTCACTAGCCCTTGTCCTTGTGGGTGACTTTAACCTACCGGATGTCTGCTGGAAGCATAAAATGGCAGTCAGAAAACAGTCTAGGCGATTCCTGGAGTGTGTGGAGGACAACTTCCTATCGCAACTGGTCAGTGAACCGACTAGAGAAGGTGCTCCCCTAGACATGCTGCTTGTGAACAGAGAAGGTCTCATGGGAGATGTGATGGTTGGAGGACGCCTGGGGCATAGTGACCATGAGATAATAGAATTCTCTATTCTAGGGGAAGTAGTTAGGAGGGGGAACACTAAAACAGCCAAGCTGGACTTTGGGAGAGCAGATTTTGGACTGTTTATAAGTCTGGTTAATAAAGTACAGTGGGAGACAGCTCTCAAGGGTAAGGGAGAGCAGGAGGGTTGGTTACTCCTCAAAAAGGAAATTCTGGAGGCACAGGAGCGAGCTGTCCCTGTGTGCCGGAAATCGAGTCGCCAGGGTAGAAAACCAGTTTGGATGACCAAGGAGATTTGGGAACACCTCAAAAGAAAAAGGGAAGTCTATAAGTCTTGGCAGAATGGGCAGGCGTCCAGGGAGGACTACAGGGAGGAAGTTAGGGCATGTAGGGAGATAATCAGGGGGGCAAAAGCCCAACTGGAACTTAGACTAGCCTGCTCCGTAAAGGACAACAAAAAGTCCTTCTATAAATACATTAATAACAAAAGGAGGGCTAAAGATCACCTCCAGCCCCTACTGGACACTGGGGGTATGTTAGTCACTAGGGGTCACACCTTTGTTGTCATAACAACAAAAGGAGGGCTAAAGATTACCTTCAGCCCCTACTGGACAGAGGGGGTACGTTAGTCACTAGGGATGAGGACAAGGCTGAGGTCCTTAATGCCTTCTTTGCCTCAGTCTTTAATAATAAGGTTAGTAGTTCCCAGGTGAGCTGGCCTATGGTGTCTGAGAACAGGGACGGAGAGCAAATCAAAGCTCCTGTGATCCAAGAGGAACGGGTCAAGGATCTGCTTCATCCGCTGGATGCCCACAAGTCTATGGGGCCTGATGGTATCCACCCGAGAATCCTGAGAGAGCTGGTGGATGTCATTGCCAAACCCCTGTCCATTATCTTTGGGCAGTCTTGGCTCACTGGGGAAGTTCCGCTGGACTGGAGGCTGGCGGATGTTACCCCCATTTACAAAAAAGGGCGGAAGGAGGATCCGGGGAACTACAGGCCTGTCAGTCTGACCTCGGTGACGGGCAAAGTCATGGAACAGGTTATCTTGAGTGCTATTAATGAGCACATACAGGTTAACCGGGTGATCAGGCCCAGTCAACATGGGTTTATGAAAGGCAGGTCTTGCCAATCAAACCTGATCACCTTCTATGACAGGGTGACCCGCCTGGTTGACGAGGGAAGGGCTGTGGATGTAGTTTTCCTTGACCTCAGTAAAGCCTTTGATACAGTTTCTCATAGTGTTCTGGTTGAGAAACTGATAACTGCTGGCCTGGATAGGCACACGCTCCT